CATGGTGTCCCGCCTTAAAATTCATTACATATTAGACTGGGATACCTCTAAATTTTGCATACTTTTAAAGGATACTATGACTGAAAAAAGGTTGGGAAACGCTGACCTATGGTGCTTACATACTGTAATTGCAATAATAATCCGACCAGTTCAATAATCTGACCGAACTAAACAAAAGAAAATGGCTTGCAATCTAAATTGAGGTTCAATTGAAACATAGTTACATAGTATTTGTGGTCGAATAAACAAACGGGTCCATCAAGTCCAACCTATGTGTGAATGTGTGTACACGAGTCCCTGTGTGGTCTAGTTTTTAAGAGTACCTGTACCCCTGTATAATTTACGGTCTTCAGGTTACAGGTTGTCATTTAAAAAAAAAAAAAATCTTTTAGCTGCAATGTTTATGGTACAATTTATTTTTTCCCACCCATGCAAAAAATCTGACATCACTGTGGTAATAAGGAGAATGTGCTTAGATGGAATCTATCAAAATATAGCAAGCATTTCCTATGTAACCCCTCCCTGCGGTCCTCTTCATTAATCTGATAGAGGTGGCTGTGTAATACTTTTCTGGCTTCCTCCCGTTGCCTGAACTCTGCCAAATATAACATACAGATATAGAGGGTACAGTTGGTATATGGTACAGTTGGTCACCTTTGATGACCGGGGACCGTATCAGAGACTAATCTCAGACTGGGACTTTCCCTACAATTCGGGGGGAGCGGACTCCGGAGTTTATATGGTTGGTCCTTCATATACAGTAATGCTCTGGGGCAGAACATGATTAAGTAGGCCACTCTTCATCAACTTGGCAGCTGTCTGCTCTCTTGCGATGAAGGAAATGAGGTTAATAGTCCCGTGTTAATTATCAGATTGAAGATGTTCAGTAGCTGATTGCAGCTCTTCATCCAACAATTCGCTGATTAGAATTACAAGTTCCAGCATGGTCTGTCCTGCCTAAGCAGCCAGGAGATTGTGGTGGGGGGCTACTGTCTGTTTGGGATAAGGTCAGCAGCAGACTGTAGATTGTGCATGCTCGATTTTTTTCAAATGCACCACAATGCGATACCATGCATTGTGAGCAGGAGGTGTGTTTGGGGTGCCAATGCAATGCACCTCCTGCACTGTTATCACATGGTAGGTGCGTAGTTCAGTAACGTACCTTAATCGCACAGGAACGTATCAATAATGCACAGGCTTGGTGTGAACGGCGCCCTGACTACTAGTGATGGGCTCAGGCGTGTTCGCAAGCGCCGAGCCCGCCGGGAAGCTGTCAGCGCGCAAGGCCAATCACAGGCACTAAGACATCTCTGCAGCTGCGGACCGGGAACATGTCTCAGTGCCTGTGATTGGCCCTGCACGCTGACGGCTTCCTGGCGGGCTCGGCACGAGAGGTTTGGGCGTGTTCGCAAGCACATCACTACTGACTACCTGCTCATGCCATATGATCCCAACAGATGTCTAGTGACTAAATAAGCCTATCATTAGGGATGCACCAATACCGTTTTTTGGTATCAAGTACGAATACCAATCATTTTTTTTCGGTACTCGCCGGTACTGGAAGTCTCATTAAGGAAGCCAGGTGGCGTGTAATGACTCCTTCCCCCCCCCCCCCCCCCGATTGGCTGGGAAGCCGTCTTCATGCTTCCTCGTCACCAGGTGACAAGGAAGCATGGAGTCGGCTTTCTGGCCAATCAGGAAGTTGGGGGCGGGTAATGACTTGCCACCTGGCTTCCCGATTGGCCAGCTTCCTGACCAACCAGGAAGGCAGGCGGAGAGTTATTACACGGCACCCGGCTTCCTGATTGACTCACCATCCGGCTTCCTGATTGGCTATCTGCCGGACCGATCAGGAAGCTAGGCGGCGAGTCATTACACCCTGCCCGGCTTCCTGATTGGCTAGAAAGCCAGCTCTGTGCTCCCTCGTCACCAGAAGCCGGCCTTTCTGGCCAATGCAAAAGCCAGGGGGCGGGTAATGACTCGCCGTCCTGCTTCCTCATTGGCCATATACCCGACCAATCAGGTAGCTAGGTGGCGTGCAATGACTCGCTGCCCAGCTTTCGGATACTGGAAGTTTGGGTATCGACTAGGCATCGGAGCATTTGGACGAGTACTCGCCCAAATACTCGGTATCGGCACCAATCCCGATACTAGTATCGGTGCATCCCTAATTATAATCCATTTGCATCATTAAAACATTGAACCTTGTCTGGGCATTTACTTAATCCTGTTCAGTCACTTTCAGATTTGAGAAAGGAAGGGTTGCAGCATGCGTATTATGACAATTATTTTTTCTTTACATTCCACTGTACAGCAGAGCTCAGCCTGAGAGAAGTGGCACAAGGAGCCAGTCAGTTGTGTTGCAGTGCTCTTGTGCTAACAAGGAACAAACTGATAGAAGGAGAGAACAGAGTGATAGAGAGATGAGCTCATCAGTCTGCTGCTTCTCCTTTCACTGTCCAGTCACAGGCTTGGGGAGGGACGAGACCAGTAAGTGTTACTTAACTGTAACAGAGAAAAAAAATCAGGTTTCCTGCCATGCCAGACCGGACTGTGCTGTGTGGCAGAGCTGTATATATTTCAGAATTGGATGGAGAGATCTACAATACATTTGTATTTTTTATCTGTATAATATGCTGTTTGCTTGGAGTTTAGCTTTAACATGGAATATCGGACAAACAGCTGACTATACATTTGAAATACATATTTATTTACATAGCCAGAAGATTTTAATACTGTTCAGCTTGTCTTGCGATTTGCCAGCCTCTGCCACACTGGACATCCTAGAAGAGCATTCTATATCTTGCTTCAGCCTATATATATACCTATATATCCACATGTACACACCCGATGGCCTAAAGTAGTATTGCATCAAACAAAAACACATTGCCCGGCAAAGTATTTCTGTACAATGTTTTGTACAAGCACTTAGTCATCGTGTTTCTGAACAGCTCCAGCTCTCTGTTTGGCTTCCCTGAACCTCCTGTCTAGTGCAAGATCCCAAGGGATTGAGCAGACTTCAGCAGCCGTCCATTCTACTAGCTTGGAGAAGGGAGAATTGAGAAGCATGGGGGAGAGGAGTGGGTTGCCTTGCTGTGCCTGTGTGTTTCTGGAGACACATACAGTATAGCTCACTAGCGCACACAAGGTTGGCTCCATAGGATCCTACAAGGGAAAGGAGTCACCCTAAAACAGGATATCAGGGCCAGTGATCAGGGGACCAGCTGATTCTGCAGGCAACTAACACCTTTAAATTTCAAGGAGCAGCATCCAGTGAAACTGGCTTAAGAACCATTTGACTTTTATATCACTTTAAGCATGATTGCTACAGAGTTCTAATGTTACACTTGCAGTGCTGTTTAAGCATAGTAGTCCTCTCTCTCTCTCTCGCACTCTCTCTCTCGCGCTCTGTCTCTCTCTGTCTCTCTCTGTCTCTCTCTGTCTCTCTCTGTCTCTCTCTGTCTCTCTCTGTCTCTCTCTCTCTCTCTGTCTCTCTCTCTCTAATCTCTGTGTGTGAGTTGACTGTCATAGAATTTACAAAAATAATACCCAGACAGGGAGAACATTTTCTTCGATATGAATAAAAATTCAATCTTATAAGTCATGGAGGAAAAAAAATGATTGAATCAAGATATGAAGAAATTATGAATTTCAGTCCCATAACTTTAGTGCACAAGGTCACCCAATAAAATGTCTTATTGGTAAATTGGGGAACTCCGGAGCTCTCCCTATTTTGCAAAATGTGTTGTTCTTGGTGACTACCAGCTCTATGAAATGCTGTGTTCCTTTGCCTGTGGTCCCACTTCTTGTATTTTGTTCTTTGCAGAGTGTGGAACATCGCGTGCTCTCAAGGGATCCATCGGCAGATATGGAACTAAAGCAGCCGGATTCAGGGATGTCCTCTCCGAACACCACGATGTCCACGCAGCCGGCCCACTTTGACATCGGCTCGCCTACCAGTACACTCTCTAATTATGACTCCTGTAACTCCAGCCAGTCCAGTGTGGGAGACAAGAAGCAGAGTCAGCACACAGGACCAAGTAAGTTCTGGAATGAAAGGGAAAAATTGAATTTAGTTAAAAAAGGGGTTTCACCTTTAAAGCAAACCTAGGCTTTACTCATGCAGGGCAACTGGTGTGTTTTGATCTCCCATTGAAGCTGCACATGCTTCTTCCTTTGCTGCATTGCTTCTTGGTTTAGCTACCCTATATAGGCTACAAGTCGCTCTTGCCAAAACTTACACTGGGTTGATTACTCCCTCCCTGACCTGTGTGACTGCTGAGCCAGTAACCACCAATATCTTTAGTGGAAGGAAGTCACATGACCCTCCATAACTGGAATCAGGTATTTTCTGTCTCCTAGAGTCAATTAAATTGTACACTGGTTTTGTGTGTGTGTGTGGACGCCCGCGAGAGAAATATTTTTTTCCCGGAAAGGTTTAATCTGTGAGTAAACCTTACCCTGCTATCTGTTTTGTTTTTTTTAAAATTCTGATATTGGAGCCACCGGCCGCCGTCAGAGTAAAGGAAAAAAAAAGACAGCATAGAAATGAATAGCTTGATTGCTATTGGACCCGCCCACTGCTGCTGTCAATCAGCAGAGGCGGACCTGAAGTTCTCCATCAGGTCCTCCTCCTGCTGATTGACAGCAGCAGAGGGTGGGTGCAATAGCCAGCTTGCTATTGGCTATTGCAAATTGAAATGGCCAATAGCAATCAAGCTATTCATTCCTATGCTGTTTTTTTTTTATTATTATTATTTTTTATTCTGACGGCAGCAGCTGCCAGAATACAAAAAAAAAAAAAACAGCAGATAGCACAGGAAGCAAGCAATAGCTTCTTTGCTATCCGCCATAATTTCCAGGAGGTGCTCTTCAACGCGAGGGCACCTCCCTGAAATTACTTCTTTTTTTTTAGGTTGAGATAGTGTGTGTGTGTGTGTGTGTGAAAACTGATGAACAGAAAACTGATGATAAAATGATCAACCAATGTATCTGTAGGAGTTTGAATACCTGTAGAGCAGGTAAGATATTTGGCAATTAGGTAACTTTTCTGTTCACCTTTTGTTCTTTCAGCTGCCATATTGTCCTGGAGGGTGACCATTTTACCAATAATTTATGGCAGATGCAAAGTTTAACAAACACACCTTTTACATGTTATGGCCAGCTTTGCTATACAAATCAACTTATTTAGGTTTACTGGATCTGAAAGAGTGACCAGCTGTATATACAATTTGAATTTATTTTACTCGAAGTTGAGTCACAGTGTTCTGTCAATATAACGGCTACGCACCTGCCTTGGGAAGAAGATCTAATAGAATAGTTTTCAATGTAATTTCTCTACACTAGTATACACGCTGCCTTATGTTCAATCAGTTTCAATGACAGACGATGTCAGAATGAACAGGCTGCAGGCAGTCTGGTTCTGGAGCAGCTCAATGCTTTCTCCTTTGTGGCTTCTTTCCATAGACTGCATGTCTTCCTGCAGGCTCCTGCTTTCTCTGCTCCTTTGTGTTACAATTTGTCACTGATGGCACATAACATATGACTCCAGTGACTTGCAGGACATGTTCAGAGCTTTTACACATTTAGGAATGGGAACTAATGAGGAAAACACACAGCTCTAGCAATATTATTAACTGTGAAAGCCCAGCTGAAGTCTCATACGTTTTTTTTTTCTCTTGTAGTCATGTGTTGCTTTATGCCATTTTGGTTTTGCTAATTTTCTCATGAAGACTCCTTAAAGAGGAACTCCAGAAATTAACAAAATGAATCCTTGCAGAGGGGCTACCCAGCACTGCAAGGGTTAACTGCCTGTTATGGTCTAGGGGCTGGATTAACGAAAATATACTCACCCGATCGTTAAACCCACCGGGCTGCTAGACTAGTCCCCGCAGACTCTTCTCCCCTTGGGCTCCGGAGGTCTAAGTACCCGTGATGTCATCGCGTCTAATGCAGGTCCATTTACTTGCATTAGGCATGAAGACACTGAAGTACATACCACAGCCAGAGAGCGGTGGGGGAGAGATGTGAGCGCTCACCGACGCGGAACCAAATATCTGTTTCTGTATTCCGGCCCCTAGGGGAAAATGAGTAGTTAACCCCTGCAGTGCTGGAGTCACCCCACTGCAAGGGTTAATCTTGTTAATAGCTGGAGTTTCTCTTTAATATATGCACCCTTCCTCTCCTGCTCTCACCTTCCTGCGTCATAGATATGTAATGGCCACACTCCTCCGCTCCAGTTTCCTCACAGAGACTTTAAGGACCTGCTCACACTATCAGTTTATAGTAACACACAGCAACACATGTTAAGTGTGTTGGTATAAAGTGGTGCTATTTATTTCCCAATGTCCCCGCATACTGCCATACGTTGCAGTGCAAGGGGCATAAATGCACTAATATGCATGCGCTGTCAGAAAATAGTGCATGGACTGTTCTCTTCCTTCTGTACGCTAATAATCCTTCCACCTCCTCATGTAATGGGAGATGAACAAATTCAGGCATGTTTAAAGTCCAGTCTGTGTGGCAAGCATGTCTCCCTCCACAGATGTAGTGGAGAGGTGAGCGCAGCCAACCAGGGACAGGAAGTATTCCATGCAGCCACAACATCTAAGGACTGGTGCGCTGCATTATATTAGGGTTGGCGGTAGATTGCCTTGATCCATTTTTATGATAGTGGTGATCGCTGGCATTATGGCGATTTCCAGATGGTTTGGGATGGGCAGATGTCTGGCTTCTTGTAACACATCTGCCAAGCAGGGTGGGGCTTGGATAGGGGAGCCGGGTGTTGAATGCGGGCGCCCAGTGGGCCACTTTTGGTAAGAAGCCCGGCTCGCTGGCCTCTCTAGTCTGCAACTGTGAGGAGACATGAGAGGTGTAGCGATGTGATTTCTGCCCAGTGCTCATATGGCCAGTCACATTTTTTTCTTTCATACTGTATACACATCTCCTTCCACAACAGGTCCTCTTAGTACAATGATCCCATTGTATGAGCTTCCTCTTAAATATCTGTTTAATATTTGCCTTCACAGCGTTATTGAACTCTATTTAAATGAACCCTGGAGGAGTTTAGTGGCCCCCTGCTTGGAGGGGATTTCATGCAGGTTTGCTTTGAAGGTCTCTTTGTGCCTCAGCCCAGAATACTGAGAATAAGAACAAGAATCTCTTCTTTTCATAGTGTAAAGACACGAGCTATGTCCAGCAGCTGCCAAACTCTCCTCTGCTTTACAGTAAAGCATTGTGACACATAAAGGGAACCTGTCTGTCTGGAGCAGCCAATCAGCTTCCAACTGTCATTTTGAGAACCGTAAAGAAAAATGTGAGTTGGTATTGCTGATCTTCTTCTGACTTCTGATCTTCTTCAAGCCAAATTTTTCCTAGTTGTGGTTAGAGTAGGGAAGAGTTAAAAATTTCTTTCTATGACCCCCAATGTGGAGTTTTCCCCCTTACTTCTAATCCCTATGACTCCCGCACAAGAAATGAGAGTAGCAATTGACATTGGGACAGAATAGACTGCAATACAAACATTGCCAGAAGTTCTAACTCTTCCTGTTGTACTAAAAATGCACCTTTGCCCATTCGCTGGCCATTTAAATGAATAGGCTGCTCTGTGCTTGCACTAACAACAGCCTTTGACCGCTCGGCTCCCTGCCACCTCCCTCCTGGCTGACAGCTCAGCTGCCACCTCCTGCTTGGACGGTTGACAGCTTAACCGCCCACTGCCTCCAGCCCAGCTGACAGCTCAACCCCTTCTCCTGGCCGCCTCCGATGAAAAAAATAGGGGTGGCCCTGACTGTATCACAGGGAGAGCAGCATTGTCACCTTAGGCTGCTCTCCTGGTTTGAAAGCAAACATTTCCCAGCACACTTATCGGCCAGCCTGGAAAAAAAATTATACTGTCTAACTTTTAGGTTTAAAAACAGAGGTTCTAGTTGCGCAACTTTTGCAAAATATGTGGAAGCCACACTGCCCCGTCAAGGCCCCTCTGTGTAGTGTGGTTTTAACTCTAATCTATGTGCCTCCATCTTGGAGCATACATCACAAAGGATGAATTGGGTGCAGGTCCATTCCTCCTTAAGGGGCGTTTTACACCACAAAGTCTGCGAGGCAGTGCATTCGACCTCTGGAACGCACTAAAACGCAAGCCGGCCGGCTCCCTGCGTTCAGGGGCGTGGCGGTGCATTGAAGTCAATGGCACCGCAGGGACCCCAGGGACACACCAGAAGCCCCGCACATCACACTGGCATTGGATTTGGTGTGGGGACACACTGGTGACTTCAGCTGCCGTTGTGATGTTTGTGGCTTCTGGTGTGTCCCTGTGCCTTGAGGGAGGAATGGGCTGTCTCCTGGTGAACCTGCCCCCAAGGGGCCTTGACGAGGCATTGCGGCTTTCACATATTTTGCAAAAGTTGTGCAACTAAAAGCTCTGTTTTTAACCCTAAAACTAATGCAACCACCACATCTGAGTTCTGACAAGGCTTTCACTGTGTCCTGACATCAAGCTTACTGAACACCTTTGCGAGGAACTGGGACGCCAATTGTGAACTAGGTCTTTTCATCCAACAGTACCTGACCTCACAAATGCACCCATCCAACAGTACCTGACCTCACAAATGCTAGCAACCAATAGCATCTAACTTCAGATATACTCTCATCCAACAGTACCTGACCACAAAAATGTTCTTAACCAACAGTACCTGACCCCATATGTACTCCCATCCAACAGCACCTGACCTCATATATACTCCCATCCAACAGTACCTAACCTAAAAAATGCTCTCATGCAGCAGTACCTGACCTCACAAAAGCTCCCATCCAACAGTACCTGACCTCACAAATGCTCTAATCCAACAGTACCTGACCTCACAATGCTACCATCCAACAGTACCTGACCTCACGAATGCTGTCATCCAACAGTACATGACCTCACAAATGCTCTAATCCAACAGTACCTGACCTCACAATGCTACCATCCAACAGTACCTGACCTCACGAATGCTCTCATCCAACAGTACATGACCTCACAAATGCTCTCATCCAACAGTACCTGACCTCACGAATGCATCCATCCAACAGTACCTGACCTCACGAATGCTCTCATCCAACAGTACATGACCTCACAAATGCTCTCATCCAACAGTACCTGACCTCACGAATGCTCTCATCCAACAGTACATGACCTCACGAATGCTCTCATCCAACAGTACCTGACCTCACGAATGCATCCATCCAACAGTACCTGACCTCACGAATGCACCCATCCAACTGTACCTGACCTCACGAATGCTCTCATCCAACAGTACCTGACCTCACGAATGCACCCATCCAACAGTACCGGACCTCACGAATGTTCTCATCCAACAGTACCTGACCTCACGAATGTTCTCATCCAACAGTACCTGACCTCACAAATGCTCTCATCCAACAGTACCTGACCTCACGAATGCTCTCATCCAACAGTACATGACCTCACGAATGCTCTCATCCAACAGTACCTGACCTCACGAATGCATCCATCCAACAGTACCTGACCTCACGAATGCACCCATCCAACTGTACCTGACCTCACGAATGCTCTCATCCAACAGTACCTGACCTCACGAATGCACCCATCCAACAGTACCTGACCTCACGAATGCTCCCATCCAACAGTACCTGACCTCACGAATGTTCTCATCCAACAGTACCTGACCTCACAAATGCTCTCATCCAACAGTACCTGACCTCACGAATGCTCTCATCCAATAGTACCTGACCTCACGAATGCTCTCATCCAACAGTACCTGACTTTACATATACTCTCATCCAACAGTACCTGACCTCACAATTGCTCTTTGGCTGGATATGCACAAATTCCCCCAAACAAACTTCAAAATCATGTGGAAAGCCTTCCCAGAAGAATGATGGCTGTATTAGCTACAAATGGGGCCGACTACATAATTAATGCCCTTGGTTTTAGAATGGGATGTCCAACAAATCAGGTGTCCTCAAACATATGTATAAATATACAGGTATCTATATTGATCTTTGATGTGTTAGGTTGGTCATGAAGATTACAAGCTGATTGTACAGCCTCCATGCAATGTCCATTAGATTTACCAAAAATCTTGCAATGAGCCCAACATATCCAATCATGGAGGCCCTCATACAATGTGCTCGCCAGCTCCTCTTAGTACTTCAGCCCCATTCATTCCTTTTGGGTGAGCCTGCTGGACAGCTAAAATATGGTTCACCCTATGGAATGAATGTCTTCACCCACTCAGTACATTCTTTGTAAATGTAATCATGGGGTCATGCCAGTGGCTGCACTGTCCTATCCAACACAGACTTCTGCCACACATTGGCCACAGGCGTTCCCCTGCCACCCTCCATCACCAATCAATTGGGGAAACTTTAGGGTGCCTTCAGAAAAACCCAATCAATGAGAAATAATATTTACTGGATGTGAATTCTGTGTATGGATAAAAGGGGGAATGTGATTGCTCTTTTTACACAGTCATTGTTCTCCACTCTTGTTCTCCACTCTGCCTCGTAATTCGATTTGAGCTGCCAGTAATGACATAAATTTCTCGGTTTTGCTCTTGATAAAAATCTAAACTTCCACGTTTGCTCTTTTTCCATCCACTCATTGAAATCTCCTTCACACCCCTCGGACGTCCTGCGCTCACATTACACCACTATTGTACAACCAAAAACCTGTTTTATGTTCATCTTCCTTCTAGGATTTCTTGCAGCACAAAAGGGTTGTGTCAGGCAGAGATTTATTGATAGGTGGAAATGTACATGATTGTTTTCCTGGAATGCTGTGCCATGAATTTATTGTGTACACCACAACATGGGGCGACACACAGGTGCATGAGCTGAGGCTTCATAAAATGTGCAAAATACATTCTTTTTTTACAGAATCTTTGTGTTTGGTCAAAAGCCGGGTTCCAGTGAAAAGATGGGTAATTCTCCCACCAATACTTGCTAAAATGTTTTACTTACATTATCCCAGGGCTTAACAAATCCCAGGAGCAGCCTGGTCCCAGTTGGGGAAGATTGTCCCTCACTTCCTTTACAAGAAATGGGGACGTTGACCTGGTATTAGCATTTTGCCGTCCCTATACTGCTGGGCTGGAGTGTGAAAGGAAGTAGCAAGAGCCAGTCCATGAAAGTGCTGATAAGGAGCGTGCTGATAGGAGAGAGAAGAGTGACAGAGAGAGGAGCGCCTCACTGTGCTGCTTCTCCTTTTCACCGTCCAGTCATTGGCTAGGGTCAGATCTAGGATGACCTGGCCTCAGAGGAAGTTGGTTGAATGATTCTTGCCATCAGACTCGGGACATCTAGTGGCAGAAGAAATACTGCTCGGGAAATTATAGCTTGAAGATGAATATTGCAGCGCAGGCTGGGGGCATGTCTGGGACAGCATGTGCTCAGAGGAATGGGTTGAATGATGCTGGCCAGCAGACTCAGAACATCTAGTGGCAGAAAAAAAAATATGGCTGGGGAAATGTTTGGACTAAAGGTGAATATTGCAGTATGTGTATGTGTGTGTGTGTATATATGTGTGTGTATATATATATATATATATATAAATGACATGGTTTTGCTTTGGCCTGGGACTCAGACAGCCTTCTGAGAGAGCTACATGTTGGATGTGTTCAGAGAGAAAAAGAACTTTGCTGCCTGGACTGTTTTTCCCAGGGAAGGTGATCCCCCAGTCGAGCTATACCCCCACAATATATATATATATATGTTTGTCTTTTAATGGGCTATTTATTTTTATCTTCCTTATTTTTGGGTTCCTAATGCAATGTCATATTTTGCTTTCTCTAGGACCCCCTGAAACTGCTACTAATGACATGAAAACGTACATGGACATGTTGAATCCTGAAATAGACCCAAACGGTGGCAAGAAAGGCAACAGTAGCGTTCCTCCTCCGCCACCTCCGGCCTTTCCTCCCCCGCCGCCGCCGCCGCCACCTCCTGATTCCAGACTCCCTCCACCCCCATGTTATCCAGCGCCAAACCCTCCCGAGGGTCAGCACACATCGGAGATCTACGTCCAGGCAAAGAACAACCTTCGGCATGTGGAGAGCGAAATACTGAACGAAGAGGTAACTTGTGATGTGCATTTGGCCTGATTTACAAGGAGTATATTTTGTTATGGGGCCCATCATTCATAGGAAGGCCGTCGGCCATGTGGGGTTAAAGAGCAGCTCCCAGCAACAAGTGAATTACTCGGCTAAATGTGGGAATGCTAATTGCTTGGCTGTTATCTTGATCCTCTGGCTCCAGTCATGTCTAGAATGTGGATCAGACAAGTCAGAATAAAGTTAGATTAGATGTCCTTATCCATATACTTGTTTTGTGACTGAAACAAAATGGTCAGCATGACAAGCCAGGTGAACAGCATGTTCTTGGGCAAATGCTGGTTTTAGGTTTGTATTGCTGTCTATGTCCTCACTGAGAACATCTGCCCCCACTTCCTGTCCTGGTGACTAGCTGTCATCAAGAAATCTCCTCAGTGGGGTCACAAGACAGCAAAAAACCTGACAGAGGTTCCTCAACTTCCCCAAATTAATATCCAGGACTCACTGCTTGGAGGGGGAGCTGTGCTGCAGAGAACATGGCCTGAATGACTTCAGTGCTTCTGCTTTGAGCTTTGAGGATGACTTGCTCCACAGTGCCTGCAGCTACAGAGGTCAGTGAGTGTTTGTTATAAAGAACATTTGCTGCTTGTTGTAATATTGTGTAAATGCTTGAATGTCGTTAGTCTGGTCATCGATTCACTTTAAATCTCTTGTGAGAACACCACAACTTTTCTTAACAAAGGGATCTAAAAGAAGATCAATAGCGCTTGTCACTTTACAACTTTTAAAAATAGATACAAGCCACAGACAGCCGGCTGGGATTGAGCTTAGGGTACCTTGCAAACACAGTAATTATTTACATCTTTGCAATACTGAAACTCGGCTTCTAGAGTATATTGCCCTGCAGGGCCAGGCCGAGGCAGAGGGAGAGGAGGCACCAGACTTGGGCACCGTGGGGGGCAAAGCTGGGATAGGAGCCTTTTCCTTCCTTTTGGATAGTTCAGGTGTCTCCTGCACTGTGCAGGACTGAACTGTCAAGGTGACAAGTAGGTCCTGCAGATTACACGGGGAGATCACAACTCTCCCTGTTTATCCAGCAACAGTCCACTCCACTCTGTTTCAAGAACTCTTTGTGTTCCTGATATACAGAGCATGGTGCCCGGCTGTCACATGGCTCCCATGATTAAACAGGGGAGCTGCAGTCTCCCTGTGTAATTTGCAGAACTGAGCTGTCAAGCTGCCTAACTTTTGCAGTGCGGGGGTTGCCCCGTAGGGACTAGCCAGCAAGTTTTCTGATGCCATGCCAAGTGACACTAAACTCAGGAGTTACATCCTAAAAATACATTCAAGTACCTTAACTATTAAGAAAAATGTATCTTATATTATTTGTTTATCACTGTTTATTTTTGTAAACTTTTAAAGTTTTGTAAATATTTTTTTTATTGATAAATTTTTTTTATTAAATATTTGTTTTTTTTACTTTACTTTTAGGGGCTTTGGGGAAATATTGGGCGTCTAAACAGACCCCTGATATTTCTCTCAGGGGTGTGGAAATTTTTGACCAGGTGACAGGTTCTCTTTTTGGAACCTGCCCTCCAACACAGAACAGATTTTCTGTGTAGTTCCTGACAGCTGTGACAGGTGGCGCTGCGCCACGGTCTCGGTGATAACACAGAGTAGACGAAAAACGGACGTTTTTTTAGTCAGCTCTGCGGGCTCTATGGTGAGCTCATGTTCCGTGGTCTCAGGTCCGCCAGAGGAGCGGGGGACCCCGAAAACCACGGGGGGGTGGGGGGCGGTGTGGACAGAATCGCTGCTTCTCGTTTCATACAAGTGATCAGATCACTTGAAAACGAGCGGCGGCTCCACACTGTACACTTAGCCCCGCTCCAGACAAGCAGAGCTAAGTGTACACAAAAACTACTCGCCCGGCGCCCCAAACTGCATGTCCCGGGTGTCGGGCGATAGGAATTCCACACCCCTGTCTCTTTTAAAATAGAAAAAGAGATTTTTCTCAATCTCTTTCTGCAGCCCCTGTTATAAATGAACAGGAATCATCTATACTTTGTGCTCCTGTTCATATATAACATGAGGACAGAGTATGTTTACTATAACCACAATTATGAATGAACAGGAGGGGATGTAGATCACTTCCCATTCATTCATAATTGAGGATATAGTAACCATACTCTGTCCTCAATTATGTACAAGCACTCAGCGATCACTGATCGCTGAGTGTTTGCACTCGCCTCCTTCCTGACACGCTGTCACAGGAGGCTGAGCGAGAGGAGCTCAGCCTCCTGTGACAGCGCTGGCTGTCTACGCCCGCACACCGCTTTAGCGATCTGTGGCAGGAGGCTGGGCGGTGTGGGAAGGAGAGACGCCGGCCGCTCACAGCACTCTCCTCCCGCAGCGCTCAGCCACCTGTCACAGTTTCTCTCCTCGCCGCTGGGACACAGAGCAGCGCCCAGCGGGGAGGACTGAATAGGATGCACCGATGTATCGGCCAGAAAATTGCACTTTCGGCATTATTTGCCATTTTCGGCCGATATGTTTCAGCGTCCAATATATCGGTGCATCCCTAATCATTTAGAATACGACATGTCTCCCCTTTAAAACCTAAACTGCTGGCTGTAAATTAGCCATCAGTTCCATAGGTAAGGCTCTGATTCCTGGATCATACATTATTCTATAGCACCATCCTACACCTGGCCTCCTGACAGCAAGACTTCCCACACTTCCATTACGAAATGAGTCCAGGGTGCTCGCTGCATAGTAAGATGTCAGTATCGCTTTCCATTCGGGTTTTTAATTAACATTCATATTTAACTGCACCAGGGTTTCCAGCAATTAAGGAAACATCTGTTTACACTGACAGCTGAGCTCTGGTACAAAAGGAGAACATGGGGATAAAGGCTTAAAGGAGAAACCACGCTAAACGCATAGCTTCCAGCACTTAGGACCTTAAAGCAGAAATCTAGTTTAGCAAAGAAAAGAAAAGAAATAGCCCACTATGGTGGGAAAAAGGAAAATGCAGTACTTGCAGCACAGCCTCCTCTCTGGTGCTGTCTTCTGCAGAAACTCTGCACTGTTGCCAGTCTAAGTATTGATTAAATGACAGCTTGCATCATTCAACCCACTTCCTGTGAGCCAGTGGCGGAGCTAAGGAACAAAGGGCCCTGGTGCAAGATTTTTTTTTGCCCCC